AGAGGAGAAACAAGGGACAAAGCAGCAGATAAGGAGGAAAGGACATACTAAAAACCAGGAAAGATGCGGCTGTCATAGGCTGAGGGCCCTGGAAGGAGGGCACCTGTTCTTCTGTCTCTCCTAGATCAGGAAGGCAGGCTGGGAAGAGACAAGGCCCTGAGAGTCAGTGCTATCATGTATACACACGGGCCATGACATTGTGAGCGAACATCAGTGATGGTTTTCTGTGTCCTCCCAGGAAGGAAAAGGGTGAGTGGGTAAGGAGGGGGTCGGCAGGAGATACTGGAGCTTTGAAGAAGATACCAGGAGCAGAAGAGCTGCTGTCCACAGTTGGTGGTGGTGGACACCGAACAGAAGAAACTCTCGTGGTAGAGCTCTAGGGACCCAGTGTCTATCCCACAGCATGAACTACTGACTGTAGGTCCAGTTAGCAGCTCCTTGCTACCAGGTAACGTCTCCCACTTACTATTTAGTTCTTCTCTCCTTAAACATTTAAAAGTGAGGACACAGCAAATTCCAGGCCAGCTGGGGCCACAGGGAGACCTTGACTCAAAAAGACACCCCTCCCCCCTGAAAAAGGAAGTGAGGGTAAAAAGAAACTAGAGATAGTTTGTTGCACTGGTCATTGGTACAGTAGTGGCACTTTCATCTTGTGGGTAATCAACAGCTATCTAATTGAACTTTAAGGCCCACTCAATGGGCGGGAACTCATGTGTGGTACTGTAAACACAGCTAAATAGATATGGCTAGAGAGATCATAGATCCTAGAAAAAAAACTATGTCTGTCACATTTCTAGTCATAATTTCTTGCTGTACGCTAAATATGGGTCCTTATATTTACAGAGAAGTATACCTCTCACCACTTATCAAAGAAGCTTCTTCTTGAAAAAGATAGAGACTATTACAGGGTTCCTCAACTGGTCACACACAGACAATAAGTGTCTGTAAGATGCCCAGACTTAAGTGACATATCTACAATGCAACATCCATACATAGCAGAACAGGGGACAGACAGAATATTAATTCATCCATTAACTCTCACCAGCAAAGCTTCCTCATGCAACAGATGGTGATTAACACAGAAAGCCACAACTGTCCAAAATGCAGAGAATAAGAGAATGTAAAGTGCATGTTCCTATAAAGGATTCCTGTATTAAAACTCTGCCACCCAGGGCTCAGGGACCATTACAGAAAAGGGGGTGGAAAAGCTGTCAGAGTCAGGGGTGGTAGATGACCACAAGGAAACAGTTTTTCAAGCAGCTGGGAACTTGCTCATATGAACTTACAGCAATGGTGACAGCATGCACAGACCCAAGCAAACTCAAACCATATAAAAACCCAGCACAGAATTGGGGGAAAGGCTAAGAACCTCCAACCGTAGATAGGGAACTGTTAGCAACTGATGACTGCTGGGTGAGGGAGAGTTGTTCTTCTTTAAGGAAGATAGTCTAACCAGGCTCCAGTGGATGAACTCACACCAAGGAACATCAGAGGACACAAGCTTGACTCTATAGGCCATATCATATATGACAAAATGCATGAAATCTTGTGGGGGGCTGTGAGGAGTGCAGATAAAAGGGGGGGTCTAAATATGCTCAAGATGTATTGCATGAAATGCTCAAAAATTCAATAAAATATTTTTAAAAAGGAAATGTGTATTTTTCCAATATAATGAACACTTACTCAAACTAACAGCAATAATGGCTGCTTTGGTGAGTGAGACTCAGCCAGACAATATGCTGCACTGTTTTCATACATTTTCTTTCACCTTTCCAAGAACAATAACAATAGTAAATTATTATCCCAACTTTATGAGACAAGAACACTAAAGTTCTAAGAAGTTAACGAAGTTGGTCCAGAAATCATGCATGCCTGTTATAATAAGCACTCCTCAACCTTGCTGATAGAATGAAAATCTCTGAAGCTGGGGCCGGGACCGTGCCTTCTGTGCAACCTCTCTAGGTGATTTTAGCACATTCTAAAGGTCCAGGACAATAATGACACAATGTGATAAAAGGAGAAAGACTCAAGATTCCAGAATGCAAAGGAGCAATGGCTAACCCAACCTCTAAAAAATCATTGGTGAAATAGTAGTTATCCAGGTTTGAAAAGCAAAGTGCTTTTCAACACTTCTGCTAATGTTCAATGAACAAGAGGCAGGCTATATGATACTGAACAGGGGAGAAAAGTAGGAGACACTCCAGGAAGCCATCATTTCAACTCTTCACTGCATTTGAAAACACATTTACAATTCTCATGTGAAGTTCTCACTCTACTGGGAAACAATATCTGATAGCAGCTCTGCTGTGGATCTGCCGTCAACTAGTGCCACTACAGGGAGGAAGAGCCTAGTTTCCTCATTTTCTGTCTAGTCTCAATATGACATTACCAGAAGGACTATGATTTAGTCAACCGTTTAAAAGTTAAATCTTAGAAGGAAAAGAGTCTAGGGTCATGTCCTAGCCTGTTACTGACTGACAAGTCATGTGACTTCTCTGAGCTTTCATCTATGGAACGGTAATAGGCAACAAGAATTAAACAAAGCAATACCATGAACTTCCTGAGACAATGCACTGGAAGGACACATCATTCCTACAGTAATTTAGCCCCAAATGCAAAATGCAAATCTGATAGGTAGGATGCATTAGGGAACCCCATGTAGCATTTTCCATAAAATGGCTCTTCCATACTCTACAACATGCCACAAAATATAAAAGACCAAATAATTACTTCAATGGAGAACAAAGAGTAATGATAGTGAATATAGTACATGATCTTAGGTGGGTTATTATCACTTGTCCTAGTTTGCTTTCATATTGCTGTGATGAAAACACTGAGCAAAACCAACTTGGGGAGAAAAGGGTTCGTTTGGCTTATATCTCCCAGATCCCAATTCATCAATGAGGGAGCCTAAGGTAGGAACTTAGGACAGGAACCTGGGGCAGGAGCTGAAGCACAGGCCATGGAGGAATGCAACTTACTGGCTTACTCTCCTGGCCTGTGCTGAGATTTATACAATACAGGACCATCTTCCCAGGGTGGCACCACCCACAGTGGGCTGGGCCCTCCCACATCACTCAATAATCAAGAAAATGCTCCACAGACAGGGTCACAAGCCAGTCCATTGAAGGCAATTCCCCAGTTGAGGCCCTTTCTACTCAGATGCACCATGTTGGCAATTAAAGTTATCAAGCACATCACTCTAAGTGATCTTATTGGGATAATTATGGGGTCTAAATACAGGCTATGCACTGTAAATTATGAAATTATTAACCAAGCACCTGGTCCAGGATTATGTGAAGATGTTACTATTAGGGCATATTAGATACAAGAAAATAAATGTAAAAGCATTCAATCTTTGCATTTTTTTGTAGATTTAAATCTATAATTGTTTCAAAGTAATAAGATTATTTTCATTAAAAATTATTGAAACTCATTCACATAGCAGAGATTGTCCCCACAGCAGAGAATAGAACACTGACTCCCAGGCACCTGGATTCAAGAGTTGCTGTCTTAAAACAGAAGAACACAGATTCTACCAACCACGGCTGAATCAAAATGAAACAGCTCATGAGAACCAAAAAATGAAACTTTATTGGAATAAACCAGCATCCCCACTGGCTCTAATGAGCATCTGAGCTTGGACCCTGGGAATCAATCCTGCTACAATGCAGATTTGGGTCAATGGTCTAGGTAAGACCTGAGAATATGCATTTCCAATGCTCAAGTACCTGGTCCTCAGCCTCACGTGCTGATAAGGCAAAACAGCACAGCAGCAGGGACCTGGGCACATGCCATGGTGCAGCCTGGGGCAGCTTCTACAGTGATTATCGTTCTTTTGGACTGTAACCATAGCTAGTCTCAAACACCTTTGGCCTATGTCAAGTAGCCCTAGATATGCTTATTAAAGGGGTAATGTAACTAGCATCCTCTGTAAACCTCATTTGAAGAAGGCTGAGTGTCCACTGTCTGACACACATGCACAAATCTACTGGGCATCTGTTTTTCTTGCACGAGTAGCTTCCCCAGTGACTCAGAGGTCAGTTAAAATGAAAGTGACGTACTGATCTGACAGCCATTTGACAATTCCCACATTGAAACCTTTCCTACATGTAACTTTAAGCACAATTAATTCTGATTTGACCTGCACAGCTTGTTTTGATTATTCTCTTGAATACATACAATGCCACGTAATTTTTACAAGATCTTCAACCTGATAAATAAAATCTGACCCCAAAACCAATTGTGAATCAAAATGATAAAGTAGTGTCAAGAATATAAAGGCTAGAGTTGCCATGGTTTTCTAACTGGAAAATGAAGACCTATCTTTTATCATTTGCTTCTTGAAACCAATGAGTATAAATAAGTCTCATCCTTTATTCCCCTCCAATCACTTGCTCCAGAATAACCAGTAAAATGACAACAACCAACTTCTCCAGACAATCTGTAATCCAATATTGAAAGCTGCATCACGCAACTGCCAATCACCCAAGCTAAAGGATGTTGGCACAGGCAACATTCTTATCAAATTCCTGCCCTTTTTCCCATTCAGTGCATATTTTCCGAGTACATAATACATTCCAGACAATATTTAAATTTATACTACTAATAAAATTACAAAAGGATTCAAAACTAAACCCTTCTGTACTAATTTTATCATAAAGCTGTAAGAAATCAAAGAGAAAAATAAGTTTTGTATTGCTCATGTTACAACACTCTGCCCATGTACCAGTCCCCGTGTGTCAAGCTGAGACAGCCTGTGTCGGCGGCTTAGAGCCCCATCCGCCTGTCCCTCCTATCCATTTCACTGCTTCAGACACAACCCAGTATGGACACAATCCAGTAGATGGGGCAAAAATATAAAAACCCATACACTACAGCAGTCACTACACAGATTTTGCACAAGCACAGCAAAGAGGGAAGAAAAGGGCTATACAAAATCTCCAGTCACTACCGTCTCAAAGGGAAACTCAGGAGCACGCTAGGGCTGCCTGCCTTACCTGGTCAATTTCCATGAGTTTGGGGTAGGCGCCAGGCCACTCTATGGCCACCTTGACGATGTCGGAGGGCGGCGGCATTGTCACACCGGAGGAAGTCCAAAGCCTGTGGAACCGGGGATCCTACCGCGTGGACAGCCACACGTGTCTACACCTGATGAGCAATGACAAAAAGAAAAAAGTAGCTCAACGCAGATGCAGGACGAATTTCGCTTCATCACTTCCTGTTTTCACTGGTATATGCGAAACACTCCCCTTGGCGCCTGGGGACTGAAGTCTCAGGGGCGCAGCCAACCACACGACAGGCCCCCAAAGAAAGATGGGTGCTGTGCCAAAGTCCCAGAGTCAAAGCCTCCAGGGGGCGCTGCCCTAGGGGTTGGGCTTCCACATCCTCAGGGGGCAAGAGAACCGCTCTTTACCATGGGACCCTGCTCCAGTGGTGCCTCAAGCCTGAGTGAGCAGGGCTCCTCTGCCCAGACTGCATGTAAGCACTTGGCGTTCAACAGTCTCCGGAAGAACACATTGCCCAGGAAGTCATGGTCAGGAAACAGCTTTTATTTAAAGCATTTTGTGTGTGTCACAAATAGATCTCCGCGCTATAGCAACCAGGATATCATGAGGAAAGCGAAATTCCCTGAGTTCACACATGCTGGCTCTCCCTCCCCAAGGCCAGTTCTCACAAAGCCTCTTCTAGACAGAGGAGAATGTAAAAGTGGCTAGGACAGCTTTTAGAAGAGCCTTGAATTCTCACACAAAAGAAGTAATGATTTTCCTTTCCTGCCTTTCCATTTCTTTATCTGACTTACTAGTTCATTAAGTCACTGTGTGCATAAATATGCAGTGTAGAGTGCCCCCATGTCACCCCACCCAAGAGCATTTGCCCCAACCTCATAGCTGTTCAGTTGTTAGTTATGTAGTCCTTCAGAATGACGTGATGTGTGGAAAACACCACAAAATTATATTCTGAAATTTTCCCCTTTTCAAATATAAAAGGCAGCATTCTATATATTACTTAACACATCTTCGAGGTCTCTGTGTGGTACTACAATGGGTCATTCTTGCTCTTTTCAGAGCTGTATAGCTGGTCATCAGGATGCACCCTCCCTGACCACCTGACCAGCCAGTTCTCTGCTGTGGGTTGATTCAGTGATTGCTTTCTTTTCTTTGGTGTTATAAACAAGACTGCCCTGCATTACAGACATGTACATATAATTTTACACATGTAAAATTATATCCTTACAATAAAATTACAGAAGTAAAATTGCTGGGCCACAGTCATTTCCAATGTCCCTCTGTGAGGTTCTACGAAGTTGCCCTCCCTCTAGCAATGACCCGAGCTTGCACACAGCCTCGTCAACAGATGGAGTGCATGCCAGCCTGACAGGCTGAAAAATGTACCTCAGTATACTTTTTAAAAATATTATTTATTTATTATTTGTATTTTATGCATATAAGTGTATTTCTTTCATGTAGGTAGGTGCACCCGTGTTATGTAATGCTTGCAGAGAACAGAAGAGTGAGTCAGATCACCTGGAACTGGAGTTATGGATGGTTGTTAGCCATTTTTGGGTGCTGGGAACTGAACCCGGGTCCTCTGCAAGAGTAGCCAGTGTCATCTTAACCTCTGTGTCATCTCTCCGGCCCCCCTCAATATACTTTTTAACTTGTCTATTTTTCATTGGTGACTATAAAGATGAAAAGTCATGTGTTCACTTCATTATACACCGTCAAACATTTTGCCCTTTTCTTTTGGGTCTTTGGCCTCAATCTGTTTGATTTTAATCAAACATATCAAACTATCAGACCAGTGTAAGCTTTGCCCGTTTCTACCTCAATCTCCATGGCCACTGGAGCCATAGAGATGACAGACATGGCAGAGTTAATGCTGAAACCTCAGTGAGACCAGCTGTTGTGTAAGTAACTGTCTTCAGCTAAGCTGAGGAGTAAAGGAAATGAACCCAAACAAGGCTGCTGCTCCTCGCCTAAGGATGATTAGAGAAGCCTGCTGCGGTGCTAATCAGTGGTGCCCAGCAAGGGCTAACCCACAAAGCAGTGCTTTAATCACTCATCCACAAATCATTTTTATGCCTCCACTAGGCACCAAGCCTACTTTCTGTGCTGGAGACCCAGCAACAGAGCTTGGTGCTACATACCAATAAGAGACAGGTAGAGAGATAAAGCAAGGGGGTAGGGACTCAGCAACTCATCTGAGTATAGATGGGTGTGAGACTGAGGAGACAGGACAATTTTAAACAGGAAGTTCAGAGAAAGCTTCACTGAGAAGGTAGCATTCGAGTGAAGACCTGTGAATGGCATGAAAATAAGTCCTGTGAACATCTGGAGACATTACTTCCCTGGATAAGGGAGCAGCAAGTGCAAAGGACCTGAGACAAAAATATTCCTGGCATAGTCCTCGAATAGGGAAGTTACTGGAACCAAGTAAGACAGGCTAAGGGAAGACAAAGAAAGCAACCAGGGCCGTGGGATCATAACTTGGGAGGTTCCTCCACAATTTTTGGCCCTGTAGGCTCTGCCTTTCACCTATTGGTTCATGACTTCTGTACGAGTGTTTAAACACACATCTATTGAGGTCTTTGGCCAACTGTACCTAAAGCCCTAAGATTTTTCATTTTGTTTCAGTAACTTTGATTTTCTAGGATGATATCCATAAGAAATAATTATCAAACATAACAATGCCAAGTCTTGTTTTGTTTAATATGCTCAAAGCTGAAAACAACCAGCTATCCAAAGGGGCCTGTGAGATAATTACAGTGTCTCACGTGCACCAACACAAGCAAACAAGGCTGGCTCTGCATGGGTTCTACTCTGTTTGAATACCTGAGAACTGTCAGAGCACAGATCCTATCAACACATCACTGCAATTCAGGATCCACATCCAAACGCACACCCTAAAATAGAAATTAAGAAAGAAGCTCTGATGTGAACACTGCCTGTGTAATCAGGTAACTCTACGCAAAAGGACGAACACCCAATCCTGGGGTCAACAGAACAGATAATAGAAATAAAATCCATTCTGGGTACCCCTCCGCCTCTCCATGAAACAATCTAAAATTACACAGAAATGAGTAACTTAGCCTTCTAGGAATCAAAGGCCAGGCTTGTTTTCTTCCCATGTTAACTGATATTTATTTCTGGGAGGAAAACCTGCTGAACAGGTGACAACACAATAGCAGGGCTCTCCTGAGAGTCTCCTCCAGAAAATAGGAGGGAGAGCACATGCACAAAGCAGCCATTGAGAGGAGGAAGCCAGGGACTTCCCTAGCTTTCCTTCCAGACCAGCTAGGCCTCAGGGGCTCTCCCTGTGGTGATGACAGAAAGGGCCTAGACTGGGGGCACGATACACAGTGACCAATCCTGTCCACAGTTCTCCCTCAGAAGTCCATGTCCTGGCCTTCTATGCACAATCTCTACTGCTTCCAGTGAAAGCTGGGGACAGAATCCCAGCTCAGGTTTTCACACAGTGGGCACAGATGAAGCTTCTCCAGAGCTCTGCCCTGTGTCTTGTAGCAGGGTTGACAGTATCTCTGGCCTCTCCTCACTACTACAGGTCAATAGCCTCCCTCACTTAAGACAATCAAAGATGTTCCAGATATTGCTAAAAGGCCTCAAAGAGGCAGAATCACTCCCAACTGAGTTGAGAGGTTATAAAGCACCAAGTGTGCTTAGCAGATCACTAATGGTCTGGACAGCCCCACTTGGACCAACACAGTGCTCTGCAGCAAGTATAGACATGGCTCAAACTGGCCCAATCAGTTCTTGATCACTCATAACATATGGAAATGCATCTTGAAATATTTTTTAATTTATTTTTATTTTATGTGTATGAGTATATTGCCTATATGTAAGTGCACCTGTGTCATGCAATGCCCATGGAGGACAGAAGAGGGCATCAGATCCCCTGGAACTGGAGTTACAGATGGTTGTTAGCTGCCA